AATAATTTGCCTAATGATTTGGTCATGAAAATTCAGATGGACAAACCAAAATATACCCACGAGCATAAGAGGTTAAACATGTGATATAGCAACCACCTCTCAACAGCCTAGCAACCACTTGGGATACTATAGGAACCACATAGCAACACCCTAACAACCACCTGGAATAGGATTACCCCAGTATCCATCTAGCAGCACCCTAGTAATCAACTTGAACACCATAGCAACCACCTAGTAGACTCAGGCAACCACCTTGTGTACCATCGCAACCACCAGAGATACCATAGCAACCAGGTAGCAACTACCTGTAACGACCTTTCAACATCCTGCCAGCTACCTCTCCGCAAATCACATTGTGTAGTCAGAAACTGTGGCATGATGGACATTATGAAACAGTTCATTCTGACAGCTGTATCAACAACTGTATCATTCCACTGAGCACTGGTTGCTAAGTAACAACTGCTTTGCAGTTTCTGTTTTGCACATGCAAAAACAGAAAATGGACACATTAGATTAGATTAGATTAGATCAGATTAGATTAGACAGATTAGATCAAATCAGATAGATTAGATTAGATCAGATTAGATCGGATTGGATTAGATTAGATTAGATTAGATTAGGTTAGATTAGATTAGATTAGATTCGACTTTTTGTAAGAAATTATTTGATCCTGAGCTTTTTGGCCGGCAGCTGTGATGGAACAATTAAACAACAAAAACTAACAGGATACAGTTTAGCAAAGAATATAGGCTGTGAAATGATTTACAGACTGACTGAAACAAAACCACATTCAGCTTCATCTGGACAATGTTAAACATGATATTTGGAACACTGACCGATGACCAGCACTGAGCTGAACCTGATAATGTGAAGGCATTATGGCTCTATCTGCAATAGTGTGATAATGTAATTTTATGTTGGACATTTGTTGGATTTCCAACTTTCTCTCCTCACTTTCCCATGAAATAAACATCCAAAATGATCAAACCTACATTTCTCACTGCTAAGATGCAAAACAAACCTAATATATTTCAAAAAGATCTGTTGTTAAAATGTGCTGAACATCATTTTGGAAACTGGACCATCCAGAAGTGCGTATGTGGACACAAGTGTTGTTTCCCATGTATTCAGCTAAAGGAAGGCAAATCAGATCAAGTCACTTGTAGTAAAGAGAGTGGCTTCCTTTAACTGGGATTAGTAGTCGGCTTATAGGAGGTTGGTCTCTTTACTGCAAGTAATTTGTATGATTTGACTTTCTTTTAGCTAAATACGGGGGAAATATGTTTGTTACATCGGACATTTCTGTAAGGTATTAGGACGCAGTTTCAGAGTCGAGAAAATGTAGGCTTGAACATGTACTCACCTTCACAAACAGAACAGGCCTTTTCAAATGTAATTAGATAATTAATTGCACAATTACTTAATGAATTCTCTATCGACATGCTGGAGTCCGCACTTCTGACTGTGATACCGATTGAATGTTTAGAATCTGAACTTTCCACTGAATTTCTCCACTTGTTTCAACCAGCTATGAGCTACATGGGGTTGTCACTGGCAATAACTGTGACTTCCAAGCATGAACTGTGAACACGTGACAGTTGAGTCAATGCATCACTGTTAACTTCCCTTCTTACTGTATCTTCTTTTGGCACTTTACATACATTTTGAGCTCGCTGTTACAAGCAGATCACTTTTCAGTTGTTCTTTTAAATAATTTGGCATGCTCTTTAATGTCTTTAATTTAATTTGAAAAATCTCACTGATGTTGACGGCTTTTTTGCATTTTTCAATTTCCAAATATTTGATAAACGAAAATTGTAGGAAGGTAAAAACAAATCCAACATTTTTTTCCCTTTGGATTTCCTTAGAGTTATTTGAGGTGTTCTTATTTCTTTCATCTACTTTTATCTTCTTCGTTGTGTGAATTTTATTGCTTATTGCTTTCATTTATATTATGTTTTTTATTGTGCTTGCTAAATGAGAAAGGTTTTCTGTGATGGTAATATCAATTAAAATAACCACTGCTAACTAATCAAAACTACACAATGCATTGATCAAGGAAAGGAAATAACAACATGCTTACAAAACAAATTGAATAAAAGCTATAAAACAAAAAAGAACAAAATAAAAAAGAAAAAATGAACCAAGACAGAACAGACACTGAGTGCATAATCATTAAAAAGACTCAAAAGCCTGAGAAAATAAATGGGTCTTTAGATTTGACTTAAAAACCTCTATTGTGGGGGATTCATTTATGAAAAGCGGAAAACTGTTCCAGAGTCTTGGGGCAGGTACAGAAAAGGCCCGGTCACCTTTAAATCTCATCCGAGACCGTTGAATGGCTAAGAGCAACTGGTCAAACGATCACAGAACTCGTGAGGTGGAATGGAAGCAGAGGAGGGTGGAGATATAGCTGGGAGCCATGCAATGCTTTAAAAACGAATAATAAAACTTTAAATTCAATTCTATGTTTTACTGGTAACCAGTACTGGCTGAATTTTGGACCAATTGCAGATGCGACAAACCTGACAGACAGATTCTCAAGTACAGCGCGTCGTCAATACGAGCAAAAATAAAAGCATAAACAACAGTTTCCAGATCCTTAAAAGACAGAATGCTTTTCATTTTTGCTATATTCCTAAGTTGAAGAAAGCTAGCTCTCACAACACCATTTATTTGCTTCTCAAACTTAAGAGCCAAATCAAAGATAATAATTTTTTTACATGGCTAGGTAAATAAGACGATAAATGCTCCAGATCAGCTCTGTAGCTCTGGCCGAATCGGTATTTCCAAAAATAATAGCTTCTGTTTTGTCTTGGTTTAGATTAAAAAAGTTCTTAGACATCCAGCAGTTTATTCCTCTCAGACAATCAAAAATAAGGCACAGAGAGCCATTTTCACCTGGTTTAATCAGGAGGTCGAGCATGTATAAAGCATTATAAAGATAACAGAATAGGGCCCAAAATAGATCCCTGAGGTACCCCACAAGTAACCGGTGCTAAGGAGGAGGAAAAGTGACCCATCTTGACAGAAAAGGTTCTGTGTTCCAGATAAGAGGCAAACCACTTCAGCCCAGTACCCTGGATGCCAACACCACACTTCAGGCGATCCAACAAAATGGTGTGATCGACGGTGTCAAATGCTGCACTAAGGTCAAGGAGAATTAATTTTAATTAAAATTAATTAAAAATCATTTTCATAATTTAAAATTTACAAAAAAATTGTATTATTTCACAAAGATTAATAATGCATTTCCACAGCTGAATTTTGTGGTGCTCGGCTGCTGTGTTTCTATTAGTTGCTGTATTTGCAGTATAGGCGCACTCTTAGAAACAAAATATACTGAGATGGTTCCCTCAGAAGCACCACATTCTGATGCAGTTATGTTTTTCAAAATTGTATTGACTCTGTACTCCCTGTCCTAACTCAAGGCTTTTTACTGTATTTTATTATGAACATTAGCTTGTAAAAATACATACCTTTCCCCTGGGAAACTTAAGACAATTGGACCTTAGGACCATTGTTGTACCTTTGAGGGTACATGTACCTTTCTTTCTTTCTTTCTTTCTTTCTTTCTTTCTTTCTTTCTTTCTTTCTTTCTTTCTTTCTTTCTTTCTTTCTTTCTTTCTTTCTTTCTTTCTTTCTTTCTTTCTTTCTTTCTTTCTTTCTAACTGTATAGTTCACGGGCAGCACGGTGGTGCAGTGGGTAGCACTGTTGCCTCATAGCAAGAAGGACCTGGGTTTGATTCCCCACCCGGGTGACCAGAGTCCTCTCTGTTTGCATGTTCTCCCCATGCATCAGGCTAATTGGACATGGTAAATTGCCCCTAGGTGTGAGTGAATGTGTATGTCTGTCTGTCTGCCCTGCGATGGACTGGTGACATGTCCAGGGTGTATCCTGCACCCCTCCCCCACCCCCCCAGGGAGAAGTGGCTTAGAAGATGTGTATGTAGGGTTCCTTTTTTTTAGTGCCAGTCTAGACTTTGAGTGAAGTGAGAGCAAAGCTCCATTTCTGTTCCCAAAAACACTTCAGTGTCACTTCTTATTTCAGTTCTCATATAGGTTTCTTATACATGAAAGCTTTTGTGGTTACAAAACCAGTCAATGTATGCTTTGTCAGGCGCTTTACACCGGCACTGAGCCACGTGCAAGTCATGGACAATTAGAAAGAGATCCAAATCTGTCATTTGCGCAGAACTGGCAACTGTTTGATTCACTTTTTAATTCGGGGGGGGGGTAGTGTAGTGTTGACTGATGAGACACAATTACCCTAAACTGCAGTTGATTAATAAAAGCAATGAGAAAATCTATAGCCTAGACATAGTATTAGAATCATCAATGAACATTTTAATGCAGTGGCTAAGGACTCAGAATCTTTTTGTCCTGTGGATCTCCTCCCATGGTTAAAGACTCTTTCTGTGCCAGCTAAGTGACTCTATACCATGATCTTGGGAGCTTTTACCCTGCCAGCTGTGAAAACTGAGTGTGTGTATGTCGTGGACTTTGTTTATTGTGTGTGTCCTTGGGTTTCAGAAAGACATATATACATCTATATAAATGAAACTCAAACATATAAAGGATCTTTATATCGTTTAATGTTCCATGTTCATAGTTGGGGCAAGTTTACAGATATTTACAGATATTTTTATTTTTACTTTTATTAGGGGTATTTTAAACTTCTGATGCAACACTGTAAAATATGTTTGGTCAGTTTAAAATAAAAAAATACTAAATTTAATAAAAAGCAATTCAACTGGATTTTTAAAACTCAAATCAGTGTTTTATTTTAGACAAACAAAGCATCATTTTACATTCAAACCTCAGAAACACTTCAATTTAACAGTATATAGCAAAATGCCATATAAGTCTGATTCAGGTATTGAGAGTTGCTGTGGGTTGGGTCTGTCCCTGCCAGGCAGTTTAATAACTTTAGATTCCTGTTTTCTGTTCCTGTTTTATTCTATATGTATGTCTTACTGAAGCTGGAGCGATTTGTGTGAATCGTGAAGCTGATCTCCACATTGAAGGGTTAGTTCTGAGTCGTTGTTGGTTTACCTAAAATACTCTTTAGAAATGGCGCTGTTACATATGAGCACGTTTTTCAAAGAACATCCTTGGAGCAGTAACGTGGTTTTTAGCCTGATTCTTGTCATTTTAGAAAAGATTGCTGAGATTGACTTTGTGTGTCCTTGTAGACACGGATATACAATGGCATTTTTTATTTTGTACCTGGTGACACCAATGGTTGTCACTTTTGTTGCACTTTACATTCTTTTGCCTCATGTGGAAAAACATTCAGAAGATCGTTGTACAGAATGGTGTACAAATTGTAAAGATTGTTGTACAGAATTGGGTACAAATTGTTGTTGTTGTTGTGAAGATTGTTGTACAGAATGGTGTACAAATTGTAAAGATCGTTGTACAGAATGGTGTACAAATTATAAAGATCGTTGTACAGAATGGTGTACAAATTATAAAGATCGTTGTACAGAATGGTGTACAAATTGTAAAGATTGTTCTACAGAACGGTGTACAAATTGTAAAGATCGTTGTACAGAATGGTGTACAAATTGTTGTTGTAAAGATTGTTGTACAGAATTGTGTAAGAAGATCTTGTGGAAGTGTTTGTGCTGCATGCCTCCAGTTTTTGTCTGGCTTGGCCTGTTCTTCTGTGATGGTAGATACCTGGCTTGTTATATGTCTGATTACTATGGGGAATATGCTGACAGCAATCCACAGAATCCGTGGGAGTGGTGTAACAACAACCGAACACTGACTGGTAACCAGCGCACGGTACAGAAATCATTTTACATAATTAAGGTAAGCTGTACTAAACCAAATCAGTCATACTCTGGAATTGTGTCGCACAATATTGAACTACACTCCCATATATTATCTTTTTCTATGTTTATTTCTATTGGATTTAATGTAGGAATTCCTAGTACATCTGGTGCTTGGTGGATAAGGACTCTGACTCTAAAAACGAGATCATTTTCATTAGTGTTTGATTGTATTACTATGTTACAATATTCATTCATGTTACACCTCACACTGTACTTAATATCAGAGATGGAAAAGAAGATGAAAATGGTCAGGCCCATTAACTAGTGTGATTTCTTTGCTTCCAGATTATTGTTTTTTCTATCCTTCTTGTCATCTCAGCTGGAGCCCTGTATTGTGATTGCCGTAAGGAATGCAAAGTCCTACAAAAAAGAGGTGAGTTACCAGTTCAGCAAGAATTTTCTTGAAGTCTTATTGGCAATACGACCAGAGCAGCAGTTCATTGAGTAATCCAAAAATTGAGGAAGGAATCGATGTATCCATATCCAGATAACCGACCCAGACTAAGCCAGACTGCTGAGCCATCAACAAATTCTGCATAGCTGGCTTTCAGTTTGAGACCAATGTTTATACATGCACTTTTTGGTTAACTATCGATATATGGAGGGACACCTCAGTGCATTACAGTCAATATTTTCTTTTACATTCTCTTTTTAATTTTTGTCATAGCTTATGAACAGATTGTTTTGTAGTTGTTCTTTCGCCATCTTTCTGTGTTCTTGTTACAGAGAAAATCTCTGTAACAAGGCGGAAATGGCAGGATGCAGGTGTAGTTTATAGGTCTGCAGTGAAGAACACATCAGTCGAGTTCAAGACTATGACTAAAATAAGTTAGACAGAAGAGTTAGTCAAGACTGAGACCGTCAAATCCAGCTTTAATTAGTCTTTAGCAGCTTCTAGTCCAAATTTCTTTTCAAATTGGATGGTGAGTCTACAGAATCACTCAGGACAACAGAATTAAAACTTGTAGCTGACTGGATAAATGCTAGAGTTATCACTTTCGTTTTGGTTTACTGTTGAACTGAAATTAATTCATTACATATTTAATTATATGTATTGTTAATTCATATTCTGTATCAATAGCTCCTGCTTTTTCTGTTTGTTTTGATGTCAGGAATTGGAACAAACATGACAACAGTTTAAAGCTTTTTAATTAAATCCACTTGATAAAAATAGTCATTCAGACTTTTGTTAGGTTGCAGTGTTTACAGTGTTTGTTAAGTTTACAGTGTTCCAGTCAGCTACATCCTGCAATGCTTTGGTTCTGAATTGCTGCAGTATGAGTCAGTAAACGTTGGTTACAGTTGAAAGACAATACAAATTAATATTTTTTTATACAGTAGTTTAAAAACTTACCAGTCAAGACATTAAATTTTGTCTGAGTACAAATGTCATCAAGTCTAATACAAGTCAGAGACAAAAGATAAAACATCTTGAGTCCTGTTGAGAACACAGAGATCCATAAAAATTGATATATTTTTAAACGCAAATACCAAATTTTTGCTGTGGGGTAACTTTAAAGTAAAAGAAAAAAGAACATTATTACCTTTTAATCGGAGATAATGGAATAAGTTGTTCTTCCTCGTAAATTTGAACCATTTCTATTGGTCCATTAATTATGAAATTTAAACCCAATGCAATGACCAGCTGGTATTTTCAAATTAAACATGTTAAAAAATAAAAAAAGGATAAAAATGGAGGTACAAGGTTTGGTCCCAGCAGCAGTAAAACACTAATTCTTAGCTAATGCTTGCGTCACTGTAAAATAATACATAGACTAATGTTAAATATTTGCATTAATGATCAACTGAGTTATCAGGACTGGACACAAACTTTTCAGACAGGTAACGTTGGTGCTTGGAAAAATGAAAAGTCATTTCATTATGTTCACATTAATTCTCTATGAGGCAGAGCTTGTTCACATGCTGGTCACATGCAGTTTAGTGGTATAACAGTCCCCTTTGTGTCCATTTGCACCCTGTTCCTTTTTTTGTGGCTAAGATGACGTCTACCTGGGTGTTGTGCCACAACAGGAGATTTCACATTCAAAATCGTCTAGCACAATGGTTTTTCTAATCCATTTTGGTTCAAAAGCAGACTTGTGCTGCCACTTCCTCAGAACTACTCTATGTACAGCCAACTTCACAAAAGTACAGCCATAAAAAACCTTTGAGGAAAAACAATATCTATATTACCCCCATTTAAATATAAATAATATAAACTCTCCAATTACTGAGGAAATACAACTGACTTTATATTTTTTTCTTAACAAATAAGAACAAACAACTCAGGCTACTGCTTGTGATTCGGACAGATGCTAGGTCATCCTATAATAATCAGAATCAGTTGAATGTATAACAAAACATAGCCATGTTCAAATACACTGTAAAATACTGGACATACACCCATGTGAATACATGCATCAACTAAATTCTGTTTTAATGCAGCAAGTTATCAAAACCCATATTGTTTCTTGACAATTTTAGCCTACTTCACAAACAAACAAACAAAAAAAACAAGCATAAATATTTATTTTATTTATGTATTTTCATGATCATTCATCAATATTATTTTAATTTAGTTTATTATTTCATTTTTATGGCATTGGACATTTCACGACTAGTTTTTCTTTTGCCATATGTAAAATTTATTTATGTTATTTTTTATATTTTTTATTGTTATAGTGTTCTACATAAATCAATTGTTTCTGGTGCTTTTGCTCTCTAAAATTAATCTGTTCTGCTTTTGTCCACATCTCTAGAGTCAGGTCTAAAATAATCTCACCAGAATAATGACAGCTATTGGCTGTGAATTTGTGTGTGGGGACAAAATTGACTCCCTTTTCAATTTCAATTGAAATACTTCCGTTTGTCAGTCTTACTTGCCTCCCTGCCTCGGCCATGACCTGCCTTGTTCTTCAGTTTGATTGACATTAATTATTTGGTAAAAACAAGAGAAGTGCTTTACTTGGTTAAGGGCTGAACCACTGTGTCAAGATTTGCAGACTCAGGAACTGATGCGGCCAATAAACCAGCTAAAATTTACTGTGGAGATCAAAAACTGGTGTCTATGAAGACAGCTGCCTGTTATTGCTGGAGACAGGTTTAAGAATCCAGCAGGAGCGGTATGGCAGTGGGTTTTGCTACTCAGACAAGTGGTAGAGCTAATATATGCTCTGGTGATGTCTGCAGATCAGGATGTTCATTAATAAGTACATTCAATTTAGAAGTGTGAAGTTCCCCTGTGACCCTCTCAGGCCAAAACATTATTATTTGTGCTATTACCCAGAGCCCACTACCCACTATACTACTCATTGTTATTCTAGCCAATAATGATGAGGATTTGCAGGTTAGTAGAATTAAACTAATTAATGTTCACTAAAAGGCTTATTTTGTGTCTGAAACAACAGTATGGCTTGATATACTGTTGTTTGATATTGGTGTGTACTGCCTAACAGATGTAGCACAGGACTCAAGCACTGTGTATGTCAAGAAACGCTAAGGGATTTTTACCATTTTTTTTTTATCTCTTTTTAAGGCAATGGTCGATTATGAAGAGATCAGTCAAGCCGTCAGCTCCGGATTAACTGAACTCTCTCCAGAAATGCTTAAGAAGTTTGTTGATGATCAAATCCTATACCTGGGTAGAGGTGCAGAATATCTGGAAACGGACAGACTAAAAGTAAAGATTAGCAAAGCCATCAGCTCCGCATTTACTGAACTCTCCGAAGAAAAGGTTGAGAAGTTTGATGATGGTGAAGTCCCGTACCTGGGTAGAGGTAAAGGATGGAAGGCACTGGCCAGTTCTGAAGAGAACAGTCAAGCCATCAGCTCCGCTTTAACTGGACTCTCCAAAAAAATGGTTAAGAAGTTTGATGATGGTCAAGTCCTGTACCTGGGTAGAGGTAAAGGATGGAAGAGGATGGCCAGTTTAGAAGAGATCAATAAACCCGCCAGCTCTGAGTTAACTGGACTATCCTCAGAAGAGCTTAAGGAATTGGTCGATGGTCAATTCCTATACCTGCGTAAAGGTGCAGAATGGGAGGAAATGGACAGTTGTGAAAAGATCAGTGAAGCCGTCAGCTCCGCATTAACTGAACTCTCTCCAGACACGTTTAAGAAGTTGATTGATGGTCAAATCCTATACCTGCATAAAGGTGCAAAATGTCAGAAAACGGCCAGTTTGGAAAAGATCAGCCAAGGTGTCAGCTCTGCATTAACCGGACTCTCTCCAAAAAAGCTTAAAAAATTGCTTGATGGACTGGTTAGTGCTGGTGTGAATACCAAGTCAGATCTCCAGTTACATGGAAACACGAAGGCTGCCCTGCGATAGACTGGCAACCTGTTCAGGGTGTATCCTGCCTTCCGCCCAATGACAGCTGGGATAGGCTCCAGCACCCCACCGCGACCCAGAAGGATAAACGGTTTAGATGATGGATGGATGGATGGATGGATGGAAACATGAAGGTATTTGATATTGCTATTTAATTCTAAGAGAATTGTGGTTCATTCAGATGTTTGTGTTATTAACTGGTGTTATAATTACTTGTAGATTTTGCGTTTCAGGTCAATGTTTGCCCACGCACTTATATATGTGAGAAAAATTTATTTCCTCTTGTTTTTTGTTATTTACAAACTGATTGACCTGCTGCACCTCAGCGCAATCAGAGCATAAAGTTCTCTCTGAGGACCTTCAAAGCCCATCATCTTAGATCTGCTCAAGTTCTGCAAGAACACATCAGTGCTTTAGCATTTCCTCCAGGATAGATTATCAGTGTACATAAATTGTCCAGTGTATATAACAAGTCAAACAAAGATGTATCGGTGTTCTCAGAACAATGGACTGACCACCGCAGAGCCCAGAGCCCAGTCTTTGTGAGAGGCAGAAAATGTTAAACCAACTACTAAAAGAATTTTGAAGGGATGGAAAATATTCCTGCAGATTTCTTTGAAAAACACTGCTTACTCACTTCTTCTCAGGTGCTATACAGAATATAATTATACACTTTGATTGTAATGATATTAGAGTTTAAAACACAGAACTGGTGATCAGGGACTTCAACTGTGTACTATCTTCCCTAGACTAGACCGTGGCAAATCTTTTTTTTTATCATTTTTTATTTCTGACCGAATATATTATCCCTGCTTAGAGGTGCAGGATGTTTCAGCTACATTCTAAATCTGCATAGGTGGCTCCAAAAAAATTAGTCTATGCACAAATATGACTTTTATTGATAGTTTGAATTGAACTGCCTCTCCTCCCACCGTTATGATGGGATTCACCTCAACAGGCTTGATCACAGACTGTAAGCCAGAGTGTGTTTTATTCTGCTTTTAAATGACTGTTCAGTTCTGGTTTCTGCCAGGAGTCGACTTAGGATCAGCATTATAACCAAACACAGGAGAATTTCTGAGAAAACAGAAAGTTAACTCACAGACCTCTAAATCGAAACCTACTATACTAGGGGTGGGCGATATGGCAAAAATATTATATCAACATACTTCAAGACATTTTCATGACACAAAAACACACATCATGATTTTTAATTTATCTGAGATTTAATAAATTGAAACAGACAAAATAGAACCTGTAGTGCCACATAATAAAAAATAGATAAATGAAAAAAAAAAAAAATGATAATAAACATACAACTACAATGATTTCTATTCAGTGCTTTACGAAATGCGCTGTACTAAATCCAGTTAAACAGGCCTAATTATGCTAGTCCGTGTTCTTTAAGTGCTGATAATTTCCACAATATGCTCAGAAAATAAAAATAAAATATCATCATATTGCCCACCTCTATTATAAACTGTGTAAAAGATCCTCTCAGTTTTAAAAAAAGACAAGCTCTAAGCATATTTCAGCAAAACATTCGGAGTCTTCAAAAGAATAAATTGGATCAGTTGAAAGTACTGATTTCACCATCTGATCCTGACATTATGGTGCTCACAAAAAAATATTTTCGTCCAACAGAACTGACAAAATTACTGTCTTAGGTGTTTTTGATCTTGGCTTTAGTGATGACTGCATTAGAAAAATTCTCAAAAAACAGGATGGTGAGAAATTTTAATCATTTTAATAACAAGCTTTCAACAAGCTTTTCAATGTAGCACTGAGTCAAATTCACCATACATGGCAAATTGCAGACATCAAATGTTTCTAGTGGTGGTAAACAAACAAACAAAGGCTCAGAAACAGAGACAGATCTAATCCCTGGCTCACTTCTGAAATTACCCATCTCAGATGAACATTTGCCTACAAGGTCTTTGCCTACATTTAGGCAGCTGAGGAGTAAATGTAGCTCCTCTATTAGAAAAAACAAATCAGACCATTTTCTTCTCTTGATCACCAGCTGTTCTTCAAACACTTGCAATTTCTGGAAGGCAGTTAATTCTCTTAAAAACATTCAGTGACCACTCAATCTCTCACAAAAATTAGCTCTGCCAGGCTTTTAATGCACATTTCTCTGCTGCTGGACTCTTACTTGGCAATGCTGATATTGGGCTGCAAATTAATGTATCGTATATAAACCCTGTATTTCATATATAAACCCTGCATTAAGCCCTGGTCTCTTCACACTCCATCACATCTCGCCATACATAGTAACTAAAGCTCTCACGGCTATTAACCCACAAAAACAGGAGAGGACTGGTTGAAACCCTTTTTCTGCATCTTGCAGCACCAGCCAGCATTGCCCCCTCCAGCAGCAGTGTCCACCCCAGGACCACCAACAGCAGCAGTGTCCAACCCAGGACCACCAGCAACAGCAGTGCCCTCTCCAGCAGCAGGAGCAGTGCACCTGATCGAAATGTTATGTGATTATTACCGCTTTTCACACATTGGAACATACTGTTAAAAGCTTTGTTTTAGGGATGGTGCTTCACATCATTACAAATAATTAATATTGCATTTATCATTAAAGTACCTGAGTTACTTATATTAATGATTTTGTGGTGTAATAAACTGTATCTTGTCATTCTGTAATCCTGCCTCAAGCTGATCTACTAATAAAATTATCTACAGTTTGCTGATTAAAGGGAGAGGCCATAAACATCCAAACCACTCAGGAGGCAGTTAACCAGCGGAAACTGGACGTTGCCATGACTGTCTTTTGAGAATCTGGTTTGTTTTAATGTTTTGTTTCATTTTTGCCTGGTCATTGTTAATTGCATTAGAAATGCTTGTTGTTCATTAAAAGAAAAGGCAATATAAAGCCAGTTTATTAGTGCTATGCAATATTACAAATATTACTTTGAGAACATTTAAAATCAAAAATCAAGTTTGAATATTTCTGAATACTTGTTTCTCTGATGATCTCTGCAACCTGTGCCATTATTCTGGGATGGAAGAGCACGATAACACAAATTGGTTCATTTCTGCTTTTTGTAATTATATATATATATATATATATATAAATTGAGAAATCAACGAGATTGCTGAGTCTTATTAATAAGACAAGGGAGTCATGTCTCTGGTATTCTTTGCTTTAGCAAACAAGTTTTAACTTAATATTCATCCCTAATGGGGTAACATAAATCATTTCATGGGTTTTCAGGTACTTGCAGCTAGCAAAGTGAATGAACAGGAGCAATATGGAGTAAGTACCATTTGTGGTATAGATAGTAATATCCATAAAGGTCTAAAGTGCTAGACAGGCCATTATATCAAAATGAAATACAATTGCAGGGGAGCACTTTGACAAGTAAGACCTGCCTCTAGTTCAGATATGCTGTGACATTTGCCAGAGATGGTACCACCAAGACTGTGTGTAGAAGCCTCCACTGAATAAACATTACTTGTGTCCAGTATGCAAATAGGGTTGCTCCTCTATGTTATTCTACTTTTTTTAAGGAATTAGGCGTTTCATTTATTTGTTGCTTTGTTAGTCTGTTTATCTTACTTAAACAAGTTAAAGCATGTTTATTTCTAATCATAAAATACACTTCTCCCCATCTAATCCTGATCCATCATTACAAATCAAAACTATTATAGAAACAAAACTGAACACAGTGTCGTTGGTGAGATTAAAATATCCAGTTCCATCTCCTGTATCATGGGCTTTTAAGAAATAGGTTCTTAAGCAAGATATTCTACATTAAAAAGATTCAATTCCATTAAGAGAGATCATCTGCATCTCTTCAGCATATTTGGGACCAATATGTCACACCTGTATCACACACACCTGTAACCAGATTTAAGAGGGGGTGCATTTCCTGGCAGGTAGACTGCCTTAAAAGGCACCCCCCTATAACTTTCTTTCTGATGAAATACTATAATATGTTTTTAATCACACATACACTATATTGCCAAAATTATTCACTCACCCATCCAAATCATTGAATTCAGGTGTTCCAATCACTTCCATGGCCACAGGTGTATAAAACCAAGCACCTAGGCCTGCAGACTGCTTCTACAAACATTAGTGAAAGAATGTGTCGCTCTCAGGAGCTCAGTGAATTCCAGCATGGTATCGTGATCGGATGCCATCTGTGCAACAAGTCTAGTCGTGAAATTTCCTCACTACTGAATATTCCACAGTCAACTGTCAGTGGTATTATAACAAAGTGGAAGCGATTGGGAACGACAGCAACTCAGCCACGAAGTGGTCGGCCATGTAAAATGACAGAGCGGGATCAGCCGATGCTGAGGCGCATAGTGCGCAGAGGTCACCAACTTTCTGCAGAGGCAATCGCTACAGACATCCAAACTTCATGTGGCCTTCAGATCAGCTCAAGAACAGCGTAGAGAGCTTCACGGAATGGGTTTCCATGGCCGAGCAGCTGCATCCAAACCTTACATCACCAAGCGCAATGCAAAGCGTCGAATGCAGTGGTGTAAAGCGGCGCCACTGGACTCTAGAGCAGTGGAGACGTGTTCTCTGGAGTGACCAATCACGCTTCTCCGTCTGGCAATCCGACGGATGAGTCAGGGTTTGGCGGTTGCCAGGAGAACGGTACTTGTCTGACTGCATTGTGCCAAGTGTAAAGTTTGGTGGAGGGGGTTTATGGTGTGGGGTTGTTTTTCAGGGGTTGGGCTCGGCCCCTTAGTTCCAGTGAAAGGAACTCTTAATGCTTCAGCACCAAGAGATTTTGGACAATTTCATGCTCCCAACTTTGTGGGAACAGTTTGGGGACGGCCCCTTCCTGTTCCAACATGACTGAGCAAGGTCCATAAAGACATGGATGAGTGAGTTTGGTGTGAAAGAACTTGACTGGCCTGCACAGACTCCTGACCTCAACCTGATAGAACACCTTTGGGATGAATTAGAGCGGAGACTGTGAGCCAGGCCTTC